TCCTGAGAAGAAACATTCATCTGATGATAGGAAATTACTACATTCCAAGACTCCAGAAAGGATTAAGTCGTCAACTGTCAATGACAAGTCACTTCATGGGGAGCACGCGCAAAGCAAAAGTGTAAGGACTAGGAGAACAAACGAAAAGTTATCGAAGATTATAGAGAAGAAAGTTCCAGAAACTAATCAAATTTCAATGTCATCCGAGAATACTGAGACAACTGCATCCAAGACCAGCAATCAAAAGATAACATCGAAGAAAGATCCGTTGCGCAACAAACTGCTGGATACAAAGACTAGCTCTCTAACAGGTAAGCTGTTCTACTACCCCCACCCCCACCCCACAAACCCCCTCCCCCCAAAAAAATGCTCCCTCCGTCCCAATTTATGTGGCAATCTTTCCTTTTCAGTCAGTCCCCAAAAGAATGTCACTATTAATGTCTAGTTTGTTTAAGACCATAAATTTCAAAAGTCTTTCTTTCTTTCTTAAACTCCGTGCCCAATCAAACACCACCACATAAATTGGGACGGAAGGAGTAGATGTTTTTTCCTAAGTCGATTAGTTACTGTTTGAGGATTTCCAAACATGAGTTTGATTTTGAATGGTTTGTGCAGAGAAACTGAATGAGGACTCACCAAGATCTTCACCAGCTAGAGCTAAAAGAATACATTCGTCACCGATGTCTTCACCAACACGAACACCAAAGGCATCTTCAAGATCATCACCAGCGATCGCCTCAAAGGGATATGCATATCAATCTCCAAGTTCATCGCCATTAAATCCATGTTCTCGATGTGCAAGAGTAAATCGAGAGTGTCAACCTTCAGGTATGAGTCCACATATACAACGGAAAGCTCATCCGTCTCATTCAGAGATCGCGTAGCTCTTCATCTGTCACTTAATGCATATACAACAGTATTTGCACTGAATAGATTCATACAATGTACTCACTCAAGGCTAAGATTTCTTTAGTCACAGGTTAGAGCTACAAAACCTCCCCCGCTTTTCGTGGGGGCCTTTGTAACAAGAGAAATATGCGCTATTACTATATATACAGTTTTCCACCTTACTCGTTAGTTAAACAATTTCGTATTTAAACATATTGAAGCAAAGGATGAACGGAGTGTGATTCTTCTACGCGACTATTGAACTCTTTGCTTCTAAGACGATAAATGTCACATTATCTACTTTCATTTCCTGACCACAAGAGGATGCCAGAATTTCACGGTTCTTGTAATCAGGACCGAAGCCAGGAAATTCAATAAGGGTGTTAAAATTTTGAATAACCTTTGCCAATGGGCTATACAAGGGTGTTCAAGTCTAGTTTTTTAATCATTAACAAGTAATATTTTGCCCTATATACAATATAATTTTTCGGCGAAGGGTGTTCAGTTAACCACCCTTGGCCACATATGGCTTCGCCCTTGCTTGTAATACTCGTCACCAGTTAAAAGTTGCTAAATTTCAGGAACAAAATCTCCGATTTGTATTTGCACTCGAAAGTTGGCAATTCTGGCTCCATACTGTTTTGAGTAGGCAAAACCATACTGTTTGGTTCTTCCAGGAATTTTCCCATAATTTTTTCAACTGAGAGACTTCGATATAGACGGATCACTTTATTTCTTCATTGAGACAGGAAATGCCCAAGTAATGAAAATTTTCATTCACAGACAATGTAGAACTTTTCCATGTATCAGTAGATAAGGAGAAGGGAATCATGACAAGTACAAGTACTACAAGACCTCATCATCAACACAACTGTTTCCTATAGACCAAGTTTTTACAGTAGTCGCGGACCTATGTTTGGAATAGAGGGATCAGCGGACCCTGTTAACTTGGCAAAAATTCTGGATATATAAGTGTATGTATGTTAAAAACAATTATATATTTTACTTGGACCCTTAAGATCAAAATTTAGATGGGAGTATTGGTTGAGCAGTCTGCTCATGTCGTATATACCTGAGTGTACAAATGATCATTTCACATACAGAAAAAAAAAAAAAAAAACTACTACATTATGTTATCTGCAATTTCATTGCATGTTCACTGAGCTCCTCTACACCATGTGACCATAAGCCTTCTCCTAAAATCTGGACTCTAAGTGCATTTGTCCTTTTTAAAAAAATAATTTATTAATAGGTTGTGTTTCCGTCAACTTGTATGCATCTCGACTATTTCATAAGTATATGCTACCTTCCACGAATACAGATAGTAACTCTTCTCGTCAAAGTTTAGGCACTTTCGAAAGCAATCACCTAGCTTTTTTGTCCCTAATGAGATTTGAACCTTGATCTACCAGGATATTCACTCGCTTCATTAATCACAAGGCCACACCTATGGATACGTGGACGAGTCCATTTTAAGGCGTCATTGCTGCAACATTATCTATTCATGGATTTGTTCGTGGTACTAAAAAAAACAGCACAGATTTGAACCGGTAAAACAAAAGAAGTTTAGAAAGAAAAAAGAACTGATAAAACGAATGGATCAATTGAACAAGTGCATTGTAAAGAGTCTTATTTTAAAAAATTCTTTTTACAAGTCACATTAATTAATTTAATTTATAGCTCCTAAGGCTTTAGTCCAGTGGGTGAGAGCGCAACACGTAATGTGTGGGTTAGGCTCACATCACAGATTCGAGCCCTACCGCATACAAAAGCCTTGTATTTAAGTGGAGAAGGGTAGAAGGGCGTGCTCATTATTAACCAAGTTTTGAATCGTGCACCACTGACCGGTGTGTGATTTTAAAAGACATAGAGGCTTATTATGCTAAAGTGCCAAGTGCTAGCGTGCTGAGTAAAGAATTTTTAAATACCGACTACAAGTAACCGTTAATGTTAAGCATATATTAATAATTTGAAAATGTTATCAAAACTGTATTGCTGTAATAAACAATTAAACAATTAAACTTTCTGGAAAAATAGAAACAGAAACTTAGTAGAACCAGAACGACAAAATAAATTATGGAAAATAATATATGAATAAATCGAGTCCACTAAATATACAGTGTGTCCTTAAGGAAATTATTACCCTCAAGTACCTGAGGTTCTGGAATATATCCTCCCACAATAGAACGATTTAACTCACCAGCGTATTGGTACCAAAAACTCTGGTGAACGGTGAACCACTCAATGATCGTAAAACACACAAGAAAATTTTGTGCAGAAGAAGAAGAAGATAATCAGAAAATTTAGTAAGTAAAAATTCTGCGATTCAAGGCATATTTATAGCCCATTTGGCACTGTTTCTGAAAAGGTTTTTAGGTTTGCAACCTTTCAGAACAACCATAGTTGTTGGAACAGGTGGGGATATTGCGGGAAAATTAGAAAACGGATTTAAATAATCCGGGAAAGAAAACGGACCGGACCGGAACAGATCGCAGGTCATGAGTTATTTCGGATTGAATTTTCGTTAATTAAATTAATTAATTAAATAATTGAAAGGAATTTTATCCAAAAGTATTAATCAATCAATCCGAAGTCGAGCGACAACGATCGCGCGAGACTTGCCTTCTTCTTAACTCTTTAAGAGCTAGTAGAAGAGCAATTGTATACATACCCTTCAAAAGTCTTTTCTTCCTCTAATATGGGGCAATGTCCCTTTGCCAAGGAGGGAAACTCAAGTATTTTATTTTCCCTCCATTTCCCATTCACCCTCTTTAAGCTACACCAAGCTTAAAGCCCAACAGAAAATGCATGGCCTTTTCTCCGTTAGGCTCCTGTAAGGGCCGATCAAGCTGGCAAGTCAGGGATATATGATGATTTTTCGAGGGTGTGTGAACTTCCTTATATATTCAGCCACATGTGCGAGTGTGAAAGAATTTTATGATCTCGGTCATTCTTCAACATAAAAGTCAATTTTCGTTCTTCCTGTTCTCGCAGCAAACATATGCTCGGTTGAAGTTGGAATTGGAACGGATCAACAAGGGTGCATATATGATATTTTAAGGACAAGAAATACTGGACTAGACTATTCCTTATATAAATGTCGTGAATAAGCTCTCCGTGTTGATATAGGCGTTCGGATTTCCACAGCTATCCTATCCTAAGAGAGCGTCCTTAAAATTTCTTTGCTAGTGTGCAGGATGAAGAACAAGACCAGGCTCAAGCGATAAAATAAAGAAGGCAAAATTTGTATAGCAAAATGGTAGTTACATGTTAAAATAAATCTCGATGCATTAAGCTCCTGCTATGCGCGAGGACCACAAGGGTAAGGGCCGGACCATAATGGTGTAAAATTCGTAAAAATAGTACGATATAGCCAGTTTTCGGACTGGTCATTCAAAAATAGCCAGCGTTTACCAAGTCAATGAAAAATAGCCACTATTTTGCTGCAACAGAGACCTTACCAGCATAATATACTGGAGTTCGGTGCACCTATGTATGAACTCTAACATATTATGCTGGACCGGTATACTTTGCTGGCTCCAGTATAATATATTGGAGACTGGAGCACCGGTGCTCCAAACTCCAGTATATTATGCTGGATCGATATACTTGTTGGAACTCCAGTATATTATGCTGGAGTTCTAGTGTACTTATGCTGGAACTCCATCATATTATGCTGGAGTTCCAACATGCTTATCCTAGAACTCCAATATAATATGCTGGAGTTCAAGTATACTTATATTGGAACTCCAGCACAATATACTGGCGTATTTTTCGGGTTTTGACAGTGTTTTCGCTCAGATTTATCTTTACATAAAAAATGCCTAAATTTCGATTACTTTTGAAACTAGGCTATTTTTGAAGGACCAGTTATAAATTTGACTATTTTTGAATTTCTACCGTAAAATCCTTGATACGGTAAATGTGTAAAATTTTACAGCACTCAATGGAGGTTGATTTGTACAATTTTCCGGACCCTGTTTTCTTTCACTTATTCCATAAATAAATAACTTCCCAAATCAAATTTAATAACATAAAAAATTAATAAATAATCTATCATAATCAATTAAAATACATAAATAATATGGGAATTTTGAACTTGTTAGTAATAAACAAAATACATTTCTGACTTAAACTAATTGATCATTCGATAAAAGGAAACTAACAAGGAAAAAAAAAACAAATACATTACCGGACAAAACTTTGATTAAAAAGTAAAATAAAAGCAACACCACAATTTATTGTAATTTTCTAGATGATTGATATCAAGGAAGACCTTCATTTTTTTTTTTTTTTTGCTTTTATATTAACAAAAAATATGTGAAATTAGAATCACACCAATATATCAAAATAAAATAAATGTTTGTGTTTTGTGATCCCCATTTTGTTCTTCCTCCTCTTTAACCCTTTTAAAGCTCTTTTTTTCTTGATTCAGATGAAACATCCTCATCTTTTTTGCTCCCAAATTTTGTTAATATTTTGAGAGAAAAAAAACAAAGGACAAAAATCCAGAAAATGGAAGCTTACCAATAAAAAAGTGAATTTTGCATGGTAATATATTTTTCTTTGTTGAATCTCTTTACCTTCAAAAATATGTCTGCTTGTGTGTTTGCCATCTCTTTTAATTTCATACATTCAACATTTTCATTGCCCTTCTTGAATCTTTTTACCTTCAAAAAAACATTTCTTTTAATTAAATGTATGTATTTATATATTCCTCAATGTTCATGAGTGTTTCTTTTATCTTTCTTTTTTTGTGTGCATATTGTCTCCATGTGTATTATATACATGAAACTAAATCAACAGATTCCAGAAAAAAAATGAATCTCAAATGAAAAAGGATTTGTATATAATTAAAGCATCTGATTTAGGTGAAGTTTTTCAAACATCATATGTTATAAATTGTTGGATGAATCTTGAAAATTGTTCAGGTTTGTTCCAGATGTTTATCTTTCTGTTCTCCTTGTTTTTTAAAGAGATTAACATGTCTAAATTCAACATGCACAATCAGAGAACAGTGGCGGAAGCATGATTTTCGTCAAGGAAATTCAAAAATAAAGAAAATAAACACGCAAAGGAGCGTCGAGGATTCACTTCTAATATATGTATAAAGGGTAGCCCGGTACATTAAGCTCCCGCTATGCACGGAGTCCGAGGAAGAGCCGGACCACAAAGGTTTATTGTACGCAGCCTTTACCCTGTATTTCTGCAAGAGGCTGTTTCCACGACTTGAACCCGTAACCTCCTGATCACATGACAACAACTTTACCAGTTATGCCAAGGCTCCTCTTCGCTTCTAATATATGTATATGAAAAAAAAATTGACCTTACAGATATAATGTAATTTTCGGGTGAATCTGTCCACCTAGTTCTGCCCCTGCCAGGGGAGAGCTACATGTTCCAAAAGGGGTTTAATTGAAGCCTCTTCGTCTCAAAATTATTGCAAATAGGGTAAAAATAACTTCGTCTTTTTTGTATATATATAAATTGTTGAATCGCTTTGACATAAGGGAATCTTGTAGTGCATGTAGTAAAAGTGGATTAGATGTTGCTCTAGGTCACAGGTTAAAACTAAAGATGTAATATCTTTGCATTCCTTTAATCCCACTATTTTTTCGTTTTTCATAGCATCAGACCATATTTATTGAGTATTGTTATTGCATTTTCATCTATTTTCTGGCTCTTACGATACTTATATTATTTTTCTGATTTCTGTTGTTGTCACTGATCTATTGTCTCTTTTCGTCTGTTTGAGCCAAGAGTCTACTGTGTTCTTTTTGTTGTTAGAATTCTTGGATACTGACTTTTATTCAAATTGTAACTAGTTATTTACCATTTCCTCTCTTTAATGCAGTTGAAGAAACAATTTTGATGCCAGCAGCCAATTTCGAGCATTAATATTCATTGAAAGTTTGGGGACAGACATGACGAAGCGTAGTTGGAAAGAAGCAATGAAGGCATTTGGGAGTCATATTGATCTTGAAAAAGAAGAACAGTTGAAATGGATAAAAATAGGTAATTATTCAATTCCAGAACAACCTCGACCCTTTGAATGTTATTGGAGGTTGTGGGATAACGCGTTAGAGGCAAAAAGAAGGCAATTTAAAGCACATCTTCGCGCACAAATTTACCCTGAACGCGGATTTATGTGGTATACAGAATGGCAACTAGTTCGCAGTAAGTTGCTGATCATCCTGTCAAGAAAATGCATAAATGGTGGCAAAACTTAATGCAACTAGGTGTATAAGTAATGGCGGATCTAGAATAGGTTCTATGAGTTTAATGGAACATATTGCATTCAACTCGAACTATCTAAACATGTGCAAAAAAGAATATAAAGCGTAATACATATGATAAGATTATACTTATTCTGAACCAACTAACTCTATATCGTGCATTCGCCTATGTATATAATAGTGGCAAACTTAACAGCTTGCTTGGCTTGATGTTTTTCTTCATTTCGTAATGTGTCGTTTTATATTGTATTATATCCTACTGTATATCTTGTTGAAACAATGTCTGGTTAGACTATATTGTTTGTTATTGTTTTATATAACTTTTTTCTTGTTTGGTATTGACTGTATTGTACTGTATAATAATTATTCTGTGATATCCAAGTTTTTTTTATAAGAGCTTATGTGACTTTAACTAGGCGGTCTAGAATGGCTTCAATGAGTTCAATTGAACACATTGTTTTCAGCTTGAACTATATATAAAATGTAATACATATAATAAGATTACACTTATTATAAACCAATTAACTCTATATCATGGATTCGCCTCTATATATAATGATGGCAAATTTAAGAGCTTGTTTGGCTTGATGTTTTCTTTCATTTAGTAATATGTCGTTTTATATTGTATTATATCTCACTGTATTGTCTTGTCGAAATAATGTCTGGTTAGACTGCATTATTTGTTATTGTTTAATATAACTTTTTCCTTGTTTGGTATTGACTGTATTGTACTGTACAATAATTATTAAGTTCTGTGACATCCAAGTTTCTTTATAAGAGCTTATGTGACTTTAACAAGGTGTATAATAAAGGCGGATCTAGAATGGCTTCAATAAGTTCAATTGAACACATTACTTTCAGTTCGAACTATGTAAACATGTCCAAGAAAACGAATATAAAATGTATACATATAATAAGATTACACTTATTTTGAACGCACTGACTCTAAATCCTTAATTTGCTTTGTGTATAACTGTGTCAAACTTAAAATCCTGTTTGGTTTTGCTGTTTTTCGTCATTTCTAATGTATCGTTATATACTGTACTCTGTGGTTTTGCTGTTTTTCGTCGTCTCATAATGTATCGTTTTATAAAATAAGAGAATCCTAACTTGTGTTTTTGTTCTTTGCAGAAATAGAGAACAAAGTAAAGAGAATAGCAAAGCTAATTAAGAGATTAAACCAAGGTAGTAGAGAAGGGAATTTGCAGAGAAGATCAGAACTACTTCAACTTGTTGATGAGTTTCACAAACAATACCAATCCCTCTATTCTATGTATGATAATCTCAAAAGTGAAGTAAGGAAAAAACTTCACGAAGAACACGAGGGTGATTCGTCTTCTCAATCATCTTCGTGCTCGAATTCAGAATTATATTATACCCCTGAGGAAATGGCTACCAAAAGTAACTCGTCTTGTTCTAATTGTGAGACTTTAGATGTAGAGGATGCAATTTTGAAGGACAAAATAACTTCGAAAAGTGAAGTTAAGGTTGAATCTATGGATTTTGATGTGGAAAAATTTGAGAAATCGATGTCTTTTGGCCGAGTGTCTGAGCCAGAGGAATTCTTCAAAGACCTTAGGATTCAAGGCGAAGAGACGTTGATAAATGAATCTACATTGTTAAAGGAGAAAGTGAAAGAAAAAGAAGACGCGATCTTGTCTCTGAACGATAAATTTGAACTTCGCGAGAGGGAGAGATTGTCTCAAATGAAAGAGTTAGAAGATCAAGTTGCTACAATGAAGCTTGAATTAGATAACTTATGTGTTCAGAAGAGAGAACTCGAGGAGCAAACCGTGTACAAGTTAAATGAAGTTAAACGAATAGAAGAAAATAATTCAGGATTGCAAGCTCGCGTCTTAGAACTACAAGCAACATTCAAAAAGAAAGATGATCAATTTTCTCAACTTCTTAAAAAATTTAAGGAGAATCAACAGAAATCAAAGTCAAGAATCGACGATCTGATGGCAAAATCAACTGGTCTGCAGAAAGAAGTGGACCGTTTACACGCTGAAAGGAATGAATTGGAAGAAAAATTGTTACACGAAACCAAAAAAGGATCGGATCAAGTCAAGGACGTAACAGAAAGAACACAATTTCTTGATTTAACAGAAAGGACTGATTATCTGCAACATGAGTTGGAAGCCTTGAGAAACCAGAAATACGAGCTAGAGTCATTACTAAAAGAGAAAACTCAAGAAGTATCAGAATGTCAACTTCAGATAGAAAACATGAAAGTGAAATTAACAAGCACGACGTTGTCAGAGAAAGGGGTAACAAAAGAGAAGGAAGGGTTAAACTCGGAGGTGAAATCACTCGCGAAAGAAACAAGTGACTTGAAAGAGAAGATAATGGATATGAATCAAGAAGCTTATCATTTAGAATTACAAAAAGAAAAGCTGAATGATAAGATTATGGAGTTGGAAACAAAACTATTAGGAAAAGAAGCAGAGGTAGGAATTCTTCAGAAGAAACTCGAGGCTTATATGAACGATATGTCTACTCAGAATTCAACGTTAACAGCGCGAATTTCAACAGCAGAAACTGAAAAATCAAGATTGAAATCTCAGCTTGAGAAAGAGAAACATGAATTTTCACAAAGCCTTAAGCAGATGGAAAAGAAAAACACTGAATTGACTATCAAGATCGCGGAGCATGAGAAAAATATAAGAGGAATGGAAATTATCGCAAACAAGTCAAAAGAGGAACATAAACAAATGCAAATAAGGTTAGAAGAATCCAAATCAAATTTTCACAATGCTGAAAGAAAACTAGAAGAAATGACTGAGGAACTACGCAAGACGTTTGAGGACAGTTTACGAATCTTGAGCAGAAGGATCCGAGTAGCAGAACAATTGCATATAGAGAACAAGGAGTGGTACCAAAAAACCAGGAACTCGTACGAAAAGGAAAACAAAGATCTCAAGGAGAAAAATGCAAGGCATGAAATGAGGCTAAGGGGAATTAAGGATATATCATTGACAGCAAGTGATATGTTAGGTTCACTAGACGCCGTGGCACTAAAGTTTGAGGAATGCACGGCTCATTTCTTGAATCGAATATCTAAGGTTTCGTGTGAGTTGAAGTTCGTAAAAGATTGGGTGATGAGGAAAAACAAAGCAATGTCACATGTTAAAGATGATTTTGATTGTTTACTTACACAATGTGATGATAAAGAAGCTGAGATATTGAAATATAGAGAGAAAGTTTGGAAGTTAGAGAATAAAGTTAGAGAACTAGAGAAAATGATCAAGGATCAAGAGGAATCAATGTTGGTATTAAAGGAGGAAAAGCGAGAGGCGATTAGACAATTATGTGTATGGATTGATTATCATCGTAGTCGCTCTGACTATTATAAAAGGATTCTGTTAACTGAATTTGGTCGAAGGAGCGCGCCATAGGAATGATTTCCTTCAACCATCAGTAACTACATTCTTTAGTCATAGTTATATGATGATATGTAATAGTTTGTGTCCATTTTTATGCACGCGTGGGGCCCACTAAAAGGGGAAAACGCTTCTTACCAGGAGTTTCTCCGATTAGATTTTATCCTTTTGACTATATGCAATTGATGAGATGTAATAGTTTTTTATCCTTTTTGTTTCTTTTATCAAGATTCGTGCTGCATAGGGCCCACAACCAGAAGTTTTTCCATTCTGACTAAACTTGAGAAGGTTGGAACCGCCATTTGCAGCTCTTACCAGGAGTTTCTCCATTCCGACTAAACTTGAGAAGGTTGGTAAAATCTTGTCCTGACGATTGTGTTCACCAATTTGTTTTTGGTTCATCAATAGGTTTTTTCTTGTTAGAAGAATTGTATACTGAATAAAGAGTATTAGGGCACCTAAAAAACATTAGTGACATGCACAAATAATTTAGCACTGTACATCTGCATTAAATTGGGATGTAACAGTTTACTCTCTTGTACATCTGGATTTGGGATTAAACCAAATGATTCTACGTGCTAACATCCTTTTGGTATTAAATTTTCTGAACAATATTAAGCTCTTCAATTTTCTAACCATGTTTGACCTTGCTATTCTTCTGGGGAATTATTTTTTTATAAACTCCAAACTTTCAGTCATGAGTACACGTGTTAGGAAGCTATGGTCGTAACGGTTTGCATCCTAGTCGGACAAAAATCGCTTTCAAGGCAGTAACTTGCCACGAATACAGTATTTATTTTGATAAGTTGTTACTGTTTTTATTTCTGTTTAATATAAATATTGTAGTAATTTTTTTTCAACAGTATCTGCGGCAAAATTCGAACTCGTGACAGAGGGAGTAATTATTTAACCCTATTTGATGCTTCATAAGACAATTCAACACCACCATGTCTAACTTGCACATATCATAGGCTCAGTTATAAATTTTCAAAAGCAATATATTTCTCAAGTGAAAGTCATACTCAGCAAAATTAAAGAAACATTTGAAATGAAAAGGAACTCTAAATTTTGTCACATCTAGTAACATGAAAAAATAATCTTAAACATCTAAAATCTGATCAATTGTCATTTATGTTGGAAAACTAATTCAAAGCTGTAGTAGAATATCTAAATTATTTAGGATTTGGTATTTGCAAAATTATTTAATTCATGTCTAAATAGGATTTGTAGTCATAATTAATATAGGAATAGACATTTATGTTTTTAGTTGAAATAAGTTTCGTACTATTATAAATAAGACATTAGTTACTTATTTTATGTGTGGAGAAATAGAGAATTGTAGAGAGCTTTCAGAGATTAATAATAAAATATTCTCTTTCAATTTATCATATAAACCAATCTCATGTTGAAGCAAAGATAGTTCAAAAGCTACTCTTCATCCATCACTACACTGAGAATTTTTTTCCTATATAAATGAAATACTAGCATAACGATAATGTGGTAGAAGTTCCCGATCCTTATTAGTGAAGTCAGCAATCTCAAATTCCCAAATAGCATACAAGTAAATAATTCTGATAATTTTATTTGTGATCACGCCCAATTATGCTTTATAAAAAGGACTAAGCGGTCGTTGTAAATATAATCCGGTTTACAAGTCCGGAGTCGAATCCCACAGAGAACTAAGGTTTAGCTACAGTTGTCCAATATTGCTAAGAAACACAAGTCCAAACAACTTCCTAATTATATAGATTATAATGTTTATTTTTATCTAACTAACTCACAAATACTAGAAAGTAGTAAAACTATCGATTAACAAGGATAAGAATTGGAGACAAGATTAAGGAGGTCTAGAGTTATGATTTCCCTTATTGTCGGAATCCTTTCCGTTGCGTTATCTATAAGTTTGCCTAAGTCTTCTCTACCGATCATGAGCACTCTGACTGTTGTAACTCTCTCCCGAGTAATTACCACAATTTACTAGACATATTCTCCTGAATTACGCTAGCTGGCATTAAGTACGGCTCACTCGGATCACACCAAGGTTTTGTTATCCCTAATCCCACCTTTAAACCCTTCGTATTGATTCCTCATATATGTTAGGAGTGATGTTGTTCAACAACTACCTAAATATGCACTCTCTCCCGAGTAATACACACTAAGTAGGCACAATCAATTGAGAGCTCTTCAACCAACCATAATATAAACGTAGTTGAACAATTATGTAAAAAGCTACAAAAAATCTATTTTAATGTAACAGGAAAATCATCCTCCAATAGGTTCCATCAAAACCTTAGATAACAAATTAGCTATTCATAATAGTATGCATAACTACAATACTAACATTTATAACCAATAATGAAAATAGGAAGAAGGAAGTGAAAAACTCGTAGAAGAATTCTCCGCCTTGCTCCTAGTGTGTTCTTGCATCCTTAGGTCGAATCCCCGATCTCCTTAGCCTCCTTAGGTTTAAATTATGTCAAAAGTATGTCCCCCTCCTCAAAATAACATTTTACATATATTTATACCAAGTAGGGTCGGGCCCACACAAAAACACCTTCTCCCGCGTGAAATAGGACAATCACTCTGTAAAATTTACACTATTGTGCCACATGGGGCGATGCGACATGCGAGGCGGTAGTGGGAAAGTTCATATCGCTGATTCTGACAGGTTGCAGGAAATTTCCACAGGCGCGGCACACCCCGCGCCGCTCCACATGTCGAGCTAGTAAGAATTCAGGAAAACGTAAAACATGAAAGTTGTATCACTTTTAAATAGCTTTCTAACTATATATTGTGGAACCCAAACGGAGTTCTGAGCGAAAAGTTATGTGCATTTTACTAGAGAATGAGCCGTATGCCCGCTAGATTCTCCGTTTCGTTCTTAACTACCATCCGTTGATCCCCGAACACGATCCCGTCTTGATTCCTTAGGCTTTTACCCAGACTTCAAAGTTCCAAATCACTTGAATTCATTCGATAATATCTACATAGCTCGAAATCACTCCTACAAGGCAGAAAATACACAATTAATGCAAAACACTAGCGATTAAAGTTCAAACTCAATTAAAGTGCAGTAATTTAGAGTGTAAGCGATTAAAATACGTAATTATAGCCGATCATCAACACCCCACACTTAAATCCTTGCTCGTCCTCGAGCAATCAAACAACACTTCATATAGACATGACCCTTTTAAACAATTCTCCTAACTCATCACACCAAGAATATTCAAAATAGACTAAGCACAAAAGCGTAATATCTTCACCTCAAGAATTGACTCACAAGTACCATACATCATTCAAAACTCACTCTAACATGGAGGTCTATGACATTACCTTTCTTTCATGAATCAAGTGCCCTCACAATACAAAAGAGAGTAGTTCCACACAATAAAATTTAAGAACACTTATGAACTCAAGATAGAAGAATTTACTCACTCTCAAAAATAACATTCATATGCCACAAAAGATTAACCATAGGCTTGCCCGTAGTGTACTACTCTACTAATCGAGCTCATTCAATCTAGGATCAAGTAGGACTTTTAACTGGTTGTAATGTAGGTTGCAGGTCGGGTAGGATACATTTAGATATACGAGTGGCTACACCTCCCTAAGCACTTTAATTACATAGTTTAAAATTCAAACCTCATACTTATGTCAAACCAAACTCCACCTTCACATCAATGTATATTACCCCATACTTCTGTAAGCACAATTATATCAAGAGCTACCACTATCAATGAATATTTTTCACAGCAATACAACTATATTTTTTTTCTTTTCCAATTCAAGTGGCTCTTACATTTTCAAAACAATGCACATTTCTCCTTATCTCATTAGCTCCACTCAAAAGACAAACCAACCATCCCACAGTTTAACTTTTACAAAGTTCATTAAACCTAACTTGGGACTGGCATAACCGCTTCGTAGCCTATTTGTAGGATGGAACACTCCTGCAAGACAAAAAAATAAGCCAAAAAACTCCGGGTGCAGGCAACCGGGTACAGCCTAGTAAACAGCGATCTCTACAAAAGGACGTTTGGAGGCCCCTAGCCAAATGTCTTGGGCCGCATCAAACGAGGCGAGTACTAGAAGAAGTACACGAGGGGCACTGTGGCGCCCGCACGGGAAACCGCACCCTCGTCAGATGCCTCATTCGCGCCAGATACTACTGGACCACCATAAAAAAAGAAGCCGACGACTATGTTAGGAGATGTGAACAATGTCAAAAGTATGCCCCTATGATACACAAAGTAAGGGAACTCCTTCACTCCGTCACTTCGCCATGGCCATTCATAAAATGGGGAAAGGACATAGTCGGCTCCCTCCCAGTAGGATGAGGTAAGGTACGCTTCCTTTTGGTTTTAACTGACTATTTCTCTAAATGGGTGGAAGCAGGTGCATACACTCAGATACGTGAGCAGGAGGTCATTGCCTTCATATGGAAAAAATTATATGCCATTATGGCATCCCCAAAGAGATCAATTGCGACAACGGACCTCAGTTCGTCGGAAAAAGAACGACCGAGTTTTTCGAAAAATGTCACATCAAACAGATACTCTCCACGCCTTACCACCCTACCACCAATGGTCAAGCCGAATCCTCCAATAAAGTGATATTGAACATATTGAAAAAGAAGCTTGAAGAAGCTAAAGGGCTGTGGCCTAAACTACTACCGGAGGTATTATGGGCATACCGCACTACGCCAAAAACCAGCACAGGAGAAACGCCATATTCACTGGTCTACGGGACCGACACAGTCATACCTATCGAGGTCGGGGAGCCCAGTTTGAGATACTCCAACGAGAGCGGAACAGTCAACGACGAAAGTAGACTACAAGATCTGGATGAAGTTGAAGAACGAAGAGACATGGCCCACATAAGAATGGTAGCCTAAAAACAACAAGTAGAAAGGTACTACAACAAAAGAGCCAAGGTACGACCTCTCAAAGTCAGAGATTACATCCTCAAGGCTAAAACACAAGCTTCGAAGGACCCTAATGAGAGAAAATTGGGAACAAACTGGGACGGACCATACAAAATCGTAGCAACGGCAAACAAAAGAGCTTTCCAGCTAGAAACAATGGAGGGAAAACTACTCCAAAACAACTGGAACGTCGCCCATCTCAAGTACTTCCACTTCTAAAAGAAGGCGTCACCTAAGTTGTACTCTTTTTCCCTCACCCGGGTTTTGTCCTAATCGGGTTTTCCCAGGGAGGTTTTTAACGAGGTAGCGAGGGGGACACCTTAAGGGTTGACATATTGTTCATCACCTCGACCCGTTGGTATAAACTTCGGATCGAAGTAATGAATGGACTACATATAGATAATCAAACCTCCATTGTATGTACGGAATCAAATCTCCATTGTATGTATGGAATCAAATCTCCATTGTATGAACGGAATCAAATCTCCATTGTATGTATGGAATCAGATCTCCATTGTACGTACGGAATCGAATCTCCATTTTGTATACAGAACCAGATCTCCACTAGTTGACATGTGACATCTTCCTATGGGAATATGATCAAATCTCCAAAAGTATAAGTTTGACCTCGTTCGAA